AAAAAAAAAAAAAAAAAGTCTTGAAAGAAGCCTGAGAAAACACCTTACCTATAGGTGGAAAACTAACTGAATAGCAGTGACTTGTTTTTTAGAAACCATGAAGGCTAAAAGGATGCGGCACAAAAGTTTTTAAGCACGGAAAGAAAAGGACTGTCAACCCAGAATCTTATACCAGTAAATATGTTATTTTGTCTGTCTGTCTGTCTATCTATCTATCTATCTAGGCAAGACATTCTCAGATAAAAGAAAAAAAAGAGTTCTGTCACCAGCAGATCTACTCTAAAACTGTGATTAAAATAAGTTCTCAAAACAGAAAGGAAATGACAGAAAGAGAGAGGGAAAGAAATCAACCATCTTGGAACAATCAAAAAGGAAAAGGGAAGATGGTAAGCAAAAATATGTGTAAATACAATAGGCTTTTGTTCTGTGTGATGGTTACAGCAAAAGTTGTAAAATTGTGGTTCTAAATGTATGGGGAGGAAATGCTTAGGATATTTATATTATAAATGGGAGAGGGTAATATCACATAAAGGGAGGTAAGATTTCTGTATTTCCCTCCAACTGGTAAAAACGGTGATATCAATAAGTTGCATTGTTGTAAATGTAAATGTATCTGTATCTGTATATGTGTAATACCTACAACAAGCACTTAAAAGCTATACAAAAAGATCCATTCAAATCTAATATATATAAGTCAAAATGGAATTCTAAAAAATGTTCAAGAACTCACACGAAGGTAAGAAAAGAGAAATGAAAACAAGAGAAACACAAAACAAATAAAATAGAATGCCAGAATTAACTCCAAACATATCAGTAATTACATTAAATGTAAAAGGTCTAAATATGTCAATTAAAAGAAAGATTGGCAGTGTTTATTTAAAAACATGACCCAATTATATATTGTCTATTGGACACTCACTTCAAATATAACAATATAGGCAGATTGAAAGTAAAAGGATAAAAAAGAAATCTCATGCAAACATTACTTTACAACAAGAAAGAGTGACTATATTAATATCAGACAAAGTAGATATCAGAGCAAAGAAAATTACTACAAAGAGGGATATAATATAATGATGAAAAAAATCAATTCACCAAGAAAATATAGCAATATTCAATGTACATGCAGCAAATAAAAGAGCTGCACAACATGTGAAGCAAAACTGATAGAACTAAAAGGATAAATAGACAAAATCATAATTATAGGGGGTGACTTTAACACTTCTTTTTCAACAATGAGTAAAACAAGTATATATAAAATCAATGAGGATACAGAAGGACCATTATACAGCAGAATCCAGTCAATATTTTTATAACATTCTTGCTATGGGCTGAATTATGTTCCCCTCCAATATACATACATTAAAGCCTTAATCTCCAATGTTATATATTTGAATATGGAGCCTTTAGAAGGTAATCACATTTAGATTGGATCATGAAGGGTCGCCCTAATGATGGCATTGGTATCCCTACGAGATATCAGAGATAACCATCAGCAAACCAGAAAGAGAGTCTTCAACACAGAATCAAATTAGCTGGCACTTTGGTCTTGCCTTTGGACTTTCTAGTCTCTAGAACTATACAAAATAAATTTATATTATTTAAGCTATCCAGTCTATGGTATTTTATGATAGCCCAAGCTGACTAATAAAAATCTACATAACGAGAGTTGAGTATACCTTGTTTTTTTCAAGTGCCCACTAACATATACCAAGATAGACAATATCTTGGCCATAAATAAAACCTCAAAAATATAAAGCTACTAAAATCACAATGTGTTCTCTGACTACAATGGCATCAAATTAGCATCAATAACACAAGGCAATAGGAAAATCTCCCAACACTTGTAAACAAAACAATACCTGTCCATCAAC